TATGGGTTGGTGCTGTTCTAGGAAATTTTATTTCTATTGTGTATTACTTCCCTCTCATTCAGTATGTACTTTCTCTTTTCAGAGCTGGATCCAAATGCATCCTCGGCCTGTGGTCTTAGAGCTGTTCCTGCTTCAGGTCAATGAGAATATCTGCTGCTAATTCATCATGACATAATATCTGGTCTCCTGCCTTATCCTGTTGGATAAGTTTCCTGCTTCCTCTTGGTCTGTACACATGTGACTCCAGGTGTTCATCAGCTACGTAGTCTGGTACAGGTAGGTTTTAGCTGATTGAAAAGTGACCTGTTCTAAGGTGGGAAGAATGTGTCTGTGACTTCCATTGGGACTGGAAAATGTTCGCCTTTGGACATACGGGAAATGTTATGTTGTGAAATAAGTTCTGAACTGCCTATAGGTCCTGAATTGCCTGCCTGCTGCTATTGACCTAAGCTGGTCCTTTTACAAGCCAAATAATTCTGTGATAATTTCTGCTAGTGCTGTCAGGAAGGGTGCTGATTAGGCAGAGTAGACTGGCTCGGAGTGGATAATGTTAGAGAACGCAGTTGCTAAGAGCAGGCCTAATAGAGGAAAGAATGAAGAGTAGTAGGAGCAGCAAGTATTCTTTGTGGTAATTCATTGCTCTGTTAGATGCAAGTAAATGTGATTAGTTCTTATCAGGTGGTTATTGATTTGTAGGGTTACCGTGCTTTTCACAGCAGGTTTAAATTAGCATGGTTAGCTCTTCCCAGCTGGTAGATGTCTCCAGTATCTGCTGTTGTTGGATATGCATTGGTCGTCTTCATGATAAGGTACTCGTATCTGCCACTCAGGTCTTTATTTTTTACCATTAGTTCCATTCTTCTCATTGCTTCCACTGATGAGTATCCACCTGCATCCATCTGTCTTTTTTTCCCAGTCAGTACAGAGTACACCTGTAAGGGACTTTGTTTTTCCCAGACTTGAATCAGTGCCATTTCACCTTTTACAGCCTGCCCAGGTCACTTCACTGGTAGTATAAATTGTCTGGTAGAAAAATGCACTCTATTTTGCAATGGAAACAAATAGCCTAGGTTATAACTTCTTTTATTTTATTTTAAGACACATTAGGCTTGTTATTTTCATCTGATTTGGCCCTTTAATAACCATATTGCTTAGCCTACTACAGCATACAGAATCGTAGAATGGCTTAGGTTGGAGAAGCCCTTTAAGCACCCCCAGCCCAACCCTTCCCCTAACCCTGCCATCCCACCCCCAAACCCTGGCCCTCAGCACTGCGTCTGCCTGGCTGTTAAATCCCCCCAGGGGTGGGGACTTGACCACTTCCCTGGGTAAGTCCCCTGGGGACCCTCCTTGGGTGGGGTGGGGTGCAAGGGGATGGAGAAGGTTACACCACCATGCACCATTCTCCTCTGCCTCGCAGCTGTGTTGTCCCCTCTCCATGATGGGGTACCTCTGACATGTCCCAGACCACAGAGGCTCCTTCACACCTAAACAGTTCAGCTGGGATGGTGGCTTTCACCAGGGCACCCCCTTAAATCACTTTTTCCCTCTGTGACCCCCTCCCTTCCCCACTCTGCCTCAGAGGAGCTTGCCCAGCTCGCTGTAGGTGTCAGCTCCGTGTCCTCTCCCATTGGCACAGCAGTTTGCCACATCTGTCTGCCAGCCCCACAATCGGGCCATATTTTGGACAGGGCAGCTTTCTATGAGAAGATCAGGACACCAGAAAAAGGGAGGAGGCTACAGGCTACGCCTGGCAGAAGCCCCCAGAAATGCAATTTAATAAAAGCGAAGCCAAGCAGCCCAGACCCTGCTTTAACCTTTTTAATTTTTTTCTTTTCCATTCCATTATTAGCGCAAATAGCAAGACCCCGTGGGACACCACATCGGAGCTGCCAGCTTGGTGGTGTCTGCAAACTGGCTGAGGGTGTACTTGATCCCCTCGTCCAGGTCATTGATAAAGAAATTAAACAGAACTGGTCCTAGCACCGAGCCCAGGAGAACAGCACTTGCGACTGGCTGCCAACTGGAATTAACTCCATCCACCACAATGCTTTGGGCCCGGCCATCCAGCCAGTAAGGAACTTTGTCCAGTGCCTGTTCCCTCTGGCTTTTCACTTCTGGCTGAGCTAGGGAAGGTCTGTTGCAGAGAGATACCAGTACTACTATACCAATCGTAACTGACATGAATTTAAGAACTGTGTTGTGCTGAGTCAGACCAAAGGATCCTGTCTCTGACTAGTAATGGATATGTGGAAAAGAAATAGGAAAATGAGGCAAATGCTGAATTTTTTTTTTTTCCTTCCACATACCTTTTAAGTTTTTGCAGCCATCTAATTATGGAGTCAGCAGTTTGGAGTAAACTGGTAGAAAATCCGCCAAATTCTTAGGCCTGCTGTTTCAGTGTTATTATCTTCGTTGGAAGCAGTTGTTCTAGTTTTCTGTCACTGTTCCGTCCTTCTCTGTTCAGTTGAATGTTCTCTTGGATTCTGAGTCTGGGGGGGCTTAGGACCACTCACTTTGGCATGTTGCTAATGGCAGTGGGTACCTGTATCCAGCTTGTAGCTGTTGCTGAGTAAGGGTTTGTCTTTTAGAAAGGCAGTTTGGTAGTTTTCCTCGTTCAGGTTCCAAATGATAGAAGACTGAGGTATGGATGAGGGCTATTTGGCAGAGGGAGACGCCAGCCAAAAGGGGTGACTGCAGATCAGATACTTGGCAAAAGAAGCTGGAAGTGAAGACAATGAGAATAATAACCTACCAAACAGGAAGTGGGAAATGGTTTTGTGGTTTGGTGTGTGTGGTTTTGGTTTTTTTTTGTTTTTTTTTTTTTTAAATTGTATTTGCACGTATGGATGGTCTTGGGTTTTAGATGACCACTGAATACCAGGCAGCAAATGTGGCAAAACGGTTTTTCTAGTTGACATGTAGGAAAGTTTTGGTTTTTTTTTTTTTTTTTTTTTTTCCTTTTCAGTTCTGGCACCCCACTCCATTTCTTTCTGTTCCTGTAACTGTCACGTGCCGTGTTGTCTGTGCTGACTAACTTACTAAGAACCCATTGATGTTAATGTGGAATATACCTGCTAACGTATATTCCTGCAGAAAGTCCACAACCCTCACTGGAATCAGAAGAGTTTATGTATTAAAACTCCTTTAGCTTCTTGATGAAAGGTAAGGTGTTAACTTTAACCTTCAGTACTCTTAATCACTTGGAGCTCACTCCTCTTCCACTGCAGTATTGCCACAGTGGTTTCCAGAGTGCTTGGGCTAATGCCTGGAATTTGCTGGTCTCCCCTTAAATTGCACAGCATTCTAGGAACTTAGCCTTTCTGGAAAGGTGCAGTTGGAGGAATTGAATGATTCTTAATTTAAAATGTAAAGGATTAAGACTTCTGGTATTATGCCACAGGAGTTATCCAGGTTTTTCATTTATACAGAAGTGTCCTAAGTGCATAGAAACAAGCAAATAACTACAACTTGCATGATTTTTCTTCTAGCTCGCAGAGTTATTGCCTTGTTCTCCATAATGCTTTCATTATGTAGACAGTGGCTAGTAGGTCTTGTTCGGGAAACGTACCTCAGAGGTCATGAAGCGAGGTATGCCTGATGAATACAGGCATGAATTGACGTGAATTGACAGCCTGAGATGGCCTTGTCAAATGTTTCTGATATTTGCTGAATAACCATGAAAGTAACAGTGATACGGTCCTTCTTGCACCTGGGTGTATTGATAGCACTGGCACCTCAGTGCTGGGCAAGGGTCCCATGAATTTTGTGGAAAGCTGTTTTGATCTTCCTTCCATTTTTTAAAAACCTCTCTATTCATTGGTTCCTGTGTTTGAGAGACAAGCTTCCTGTCCCTTCCTTTATGGCCTTCGATAGTCCAATAGCCTTTACTATTTTGTACTCCTATCATAATGATGATGTCTATATTTGTCTATGGTAGTTGTCCAAAGCTAGGGATAGAAGCGTTTCTCTTTGAATACAACTGTCACCATGGCTTGAATTAAGCCCTTAGCTAGACTGAAAAATTTGCCTGCTCCAGGAATGTCAGGTTCAGAGTCTAATCAGCATTGTATCTTTTACTTTTTATCCTGAAATTTGGCACAGTTACTCTCTGCCTGTAAACTTATCTTAAAAATAATTTGTTTAAAGGCAGTTCAGCTCCTTTCAAGATCCTAAACTGCAGAGAAGAAAATACAATTTACCAATCATACATTTTTAGATTTATAGGCACAGCTATTGCACTGAAGTGCGAAATTGTATAAACTTAACTTTTGATAAGCATGCGGCCTTTGACTTGCAAATGTGCTTCTGATGTTGTGAAAGAGGTTGGACTTCATTTGGTGAAATTGCAAGGCATAAAATAAAAACGTTATGAATTCATTATTTT